CGATTACCATCCAAAAATAGATGTTCTAATTGATCTAAATCCATTTCCTCCAAATTAGTTTCAGTATTAATTGTATAAGTAGATAATGTTGGGGAGATTCTATGATTAATGGTTGTAGTAGTTGTTGCATCACTGTCTTTTGAAGATTTCCTTGTCAAATTATTAGTAGTAGTTATTGCTGTTGGTTTTTTTGTCGTGTTATTTTTCCTTGCAGCAGGAGGCTTTGTAGTTGGCGAAGATGTTTTTACACCTGAATTTTGTGATTTTATAAACTCATTGGATGATTTTGATGTTGAATTTGATTGTGTAATCATTGAAAATTGTTTTTGTTTAGCAGAATAAATGATTTTTTCAATTTCTTTTTTATTGTTATTATTTTTACTATTGGGTAAAGGTAATGTACGAGATTTGACAGGAGTAGAAGGATTAAAAGCATTCGTATCTGATATTATCGACAATGCTTTTGATGCTCGTCTAGAAGATGAATTTTCATTTGTTGTGTTTATTGTATGCGATTTTATTGAAGAAAATGATGTTGCTCTAGACCTTGTTATAGTTGAGGAATTTTTAAAAATATTTTTATTATCTTTTTTATCCTTTTTAATGTCAATAAAAGACAAATTTTCTTCCGATACAGTTGTATTTATTTTACCATCATCATCATCACCATCGTCATCGTCGTCATCATCATCGTCATCATCATCAAAGTTCTCATAATCATCCGCGTCATCTATATCTCTGCCATTACCATCACAATCATAATTGTCAAATGAAATTGGTGAATTGTTAATTTGAAAGTCTTTATCATCAATAAATTCATCAGAAAAAACAGAATCAATTAAATTTTTGTTCGTATTTTTATTATTTAATGATTTAGCGATGTTGCAATTATTATCTGTTTTTATTGATTGTTCAATTGATTCACTAGTTATTGATAAGTGAAAAATGAAAAACAATTTATTTGTTTATTTATTCATTTATTTATTTTATTTATTTTATTATGTTGATAATTAATTTTCTAATGATTTTTTTTACGTACTTTTTTTTACAAGGTATTTTTTTTTATTACATCAATTCTTTCAAGCCATTTTGGTTCAAGAGATTTAACCTTTTGTACTCATCAATAACATGTCTATCTACCTTTATGCAATCAAAATCAA